ATATGGCCATTCATCTGGGTAGCCTTTTGTGCAGGGATTATGGGCTTCCCACAGCTATCAAATTCATAAGGTTTCTTCTCCATGTGAACGTAACTGTGGCTGTTCAATGGCTCTCCTGTGCAAATCTTTTGCCACACTTTCCACACTGGAACTTCTTCTCCTCGCTATGCACATAGCTATGGCTTGTGAGGTAGCTCTCCTGCGTGAAGCGCTTGCCACATTCACCACACTCAAATCGTTTTTCTTCACTGTGGACAAACCTGTGACTGCTTAGATGGTTCTGATGAGCGAAGCGCCTTCCACAGTCCTCACACTCAAATCTTTTATCATCGTTATGCATGAACTTTGTGTTGACAGGATGTTTAGACCATTCTTGGTACTCAAATTTCTTAACCTTGTTATGCATAAACATGTGACTATGGAGATAAGCTTCCTGTGTAAAGCGCTTGCCACACTCTTCACAAGCAAACCTCTTTTCATCACTATGAACATATTTATGACACCTGAGATGGCTCTCTTGGGCAAAGCGTTTCCCACACTGATCGCAAATATATTTTTTCTCCTCAGTGTGCATAAATCTGTGGCTGTTAAGATGCATTTCTTGAGTGAACCTCTTACCACAAATCTCACATTCAAACCTGCGCTCCCATGCACCATCATATGACTTGTCAGGTGACTTTCCATGTTATATCTTTTTCCACATAATTCACACTCAAACTTCTTTTCATTGTGGATAAGCATGTGGCTGTTAAGGTGGCACTCCATCCCAAAACGTTTGCCACACAAACTACATTCAAAATCTTTTCTTCATTATGCACAAGCATATGGCTGTTGAGGTGAGCCTCTAAATTGAATCTCTTGCCACAGGTTTCACATTCATAGGCCTTGTCGGTGCTGTGGACGAGCATGTGACTGTTCATGTGACTCTCCATCAAGAATCGTTTCCCGCACAACCCACACTCGAACTTTTTTTCATTGTGGACAAGCATGTGGCCATTAAGATGGCTCTCCATGAGGAACCTTTTCCCACACAAAATACACTCAAATTTCTTTTCACTGTGTACAAGCATGTGACTATTCAGGTGACTTTCCATGTTGAACCTCTTCCCACAGATCTGGCACTCGTGCTTCCTCTCGTCACTGTGAACAAGCATATGGCTGGTGAGGTGGCACTCCATGTTAAAACGCTTACCGCATAACTGACACTCAAACTTTTTATCCTCACTATGTACCAGCATGTGACTATTCAGGTGATTTTCCATGGCAAACTTCTTGTCACACAGTTCACACTCAAAGTTCTTTTCCCACTGTGGACAAGGATGTGGCTGTTCAAGTGACTTTCCATGTTAAATCGTTTGCCGCATATGTCACACTTGTAGATTTTTTCATTGTGCACAAGCATGTGGCTGTTGAGGTGGCTCTCCATAGTGAAACGTTTGTGACACAAGAGGCACTCATACTTCTTGTCATTGTTGTGCACCATCATGTGACTGTTAAGGTGGATCTCCAGGCTAAACTTTTTCTCACACAGATGGCACTCGAACTTTTTCACCTCATTGTGAAAACCATGTGGCTGTTCACTGAATTTTCCATGTGGAACTCTTCCACAGTACACATTCAACTTCTTACCATCACTGTGCACCAGCATGTGGCTGTGAGATGACTCTCCATGTTAAGCGCTTACGCCACTGTACACTCAAAGTTCTTCTCTTTGCTGTGCTTCAGCATGTGGCTGTTAAGGTGACTTTTCTGGCTATACCTTCCTGCATATTCCCACTCAAACTTTTTTCGGTATTGTGGACAAGCATGTGACTATTAAGGTGATTCTCCATGGTAAATCTTTTGTCACATATTCTGCACTCAAACTTCTTTTCTGTCATGTGAACCAGCATATGACTGTTCAGGTAATTCTCCATTGCAAACCTTTTACCACACATGTGGCATGCAAACTTTTCTCCCTGCTGTGTTCCAGCATGTGTCCATTCAAGTGACTCTCCATTGAGAAGCGTTTGTTGCAAACTTCACACTCAAATTTTTTCTCACGGTTATGCCACTGCATGTGACTTGTGAGATGACTTTTCTGTGCGAACTGTTTGCCGCACTGGTCACAGTTGTAGGGCTTTTCTTCAATAGTATTAACAATATTGTTTTCGTCTTCTGTTATGGGTTGGTATGTAGGGGCAGCAACAGCAGGCTGAACAGGAGCTGGTGCTGGTGTTCTTATAGACTGGTGGGGGTTACCATAGTACACTGGAGCTGTCTGGATGAGGGCCTGTGCCCCAGTGACCACAGGGTGATTGATCCTATGATATTTGCCTGGATAGGGAATGTGTAACCCTTCCATTCTGAAGATAGAGTGATTCATCGGAGCGAGCTCATGGAGGACGCTAGTTAAAGGCATAACCATGTACATGGTGGGTCCGTCATCGTTGCGTCTTGGCGGTGTGCTGGGCTCTGTGTCGCTCCTGATCTCGTGTTGAAACGTCGACGTGTTTCTTGT